TTATAAACAAAAAACAAAGAAATTTATAACAGAGATAACACGTCATTGTGATACAGTGTAAATAACACACAATTTTTTTTAGTAGTATATACAGAAACAAACATACATAGACAACATATAATAACAGCGATATTAATGCTGACGGTTTCACTAGAGCACAGAACTCTTCAATACTGTATGGTTCCATATCGCATATATACTAAGTGACATATAAATCCGAACACCCAGTTTAAATGGTTTTATTTTAATAAAAGTTGGTGAATGTACTTATCTTACTGTAAATAACAAGTGAAAAAATTTTCAGCCTTATCAGTTGGACATTCCGGTTTTCATACTGCTTTTTTTTAATTCACTAACGCTCTAAAAATGAATATTTCAGCCGCAGTAAAGAATCAACGTTGGCGGATTTTGGTTCTTGACATCCTTTACGATCGGTTGCGATGCCTAGAGTACGGAGACCTGTACGATTTCGTCAACTTAGTGAGTTTGATAGGGGCCGTATAGTGGGACTTCGGGAAGCTGGACTTTATTTTCAGGCAATTGCAGTTAGAGTGCAAAGAAGTGTAGACACTGTGGTTAGGTGATGTCAGGCATGGCTTCGAGAAGGCCGTACGCAAAGAGCAAGGGGCACTGGACGCCGCCGTAGAACAACAGACCGTGAAGATCGCCGCCTAAGATTATTGGCCTTAAGGGACCGTTTCTCCACTACCAGGTCCATTGCAAATGAATGGTTTGCAGAACACGGAAAACCTATTGGCATGCGAAGTGTTTACCGACGAATTAGAAGTTTTGGCTTGTTTTCATACCGGCCACACTGGGTCCTCCCTTTAACTCGAGAACACCGATGTAATCGCCTTGAGTGGTGCAGACAACGGTCACTCTGGGATCATGAATGGAACAGTATTGTCTTTAGTGACGAGTCTCGATTTTGTTTAGGCATGCACGATGGTCGTGCCAGGGTTAGAAGGAGACGTGGTGAAAGAAGGAATCCACAGTTTTTTGTTGAAAGACATGTTCATCACACTGTTGGAGTTATGGTTTGAGGTGCTATAGCTTATGTTTCCAGGTCACCTTTAATCTTCATCAGAGGTAACATGAACGCGAAGTTCTAGAACCCCATCTTTTACCCTATCTTGACACCCTGGCAGATCCAACTTTCCAACAAGATAATGCCCGACCTCATGTTGCAAGAGTCACAATAGACTTCTTTCAACATAATGATGTCACATTGTTACCATGGCCACCAAGATCTCCCGACTTATCCCCAATTGAGCACGTGTGGGATATGATGGGTAGGAGATTGCTCAATTTGCAACGTCCTCCTCAGACTCTAGAAGCACTTCGAGAGGAGTTGGTGGTTGCCTGGAATGAGATACCACAGGAGGACATTGACCACCTGATCAGAAGCATGCCTAGGCGCGTTGGAGAATGCGTAGCACATCAGGGTGCATCCACACATTATTAAAGGTCAAAGGGCTTTAAAGCAGTGCAATCATTTTGAAATTATTATCATTTACTTATTATGCTTCATTAAGTGCTTATACAAAATTTTATTAAAATAAAACCATTTAAACTGGGTGTTCGGATTTATATGTCACTTAGTATATATTTATGAATGTTTTTTCTGAATATAGTGAATGCTGAAATATATTGAGGATATTGAAGTAAAGCATTGTAAAGTTTCAGTGCAGAGTAATGTGGACATTTTTCGGTAGAATTTAGCTTATGTGATGGGTAGAAGTATTTCTGACTTTTGCGAGTATTGTAACTGTGGTTGAAGACGTTTTTTCCAAACTTTTCTTTATAGCTAAAGATAAATAGTAGAGTGTTATAGAAATAAATTCTATTGGCTGCGGGACTATTACCCCAAATTGTTATTTGATAAGACATGATAGAATACGCAAGCCAATAGTTCCTCGCTCAGTGGCGTAGGAAGTAAAAGTGACAGATTTTTTGTGACATGTAGGTTTTAGACATTATGTAGGTATTGCTATAAAATGTTACCTTTTAAGTAGCTGACATTCACTTCATGCTCACTTCTAGAAGGCGACCTACTGCACAAGTTGGCATTTTACCTATTTCTCTGACATTATGTAGGTTTTTACGTAATAGCATAGCCGTGCGGATCCATTATACTTACTCCAACATTTTAAAACGACAGAAATTCTGATAAATTATTCCTAATCAGAGACCCGAAAAACCCACAGAGCACTCAGTCAGCACGAGTTTTAAATTTTTGTCGAACTTTTTGGTTATCGCCTGCAGTGTGTATGAATCGATAGGGTCAAGACCGGTTTCTGAAAAGAGCTTCCCGTTTCATTGAAATTAAATTAGAATATATACTAAGTGACATATAAATCCGAACACCCAGTTTAAATGGTTTTATTTTAATAAAATTTTGTATAAGTACTTAATGAAGCATAATAAGTAAATGATAAAAATTTCAAAATGATTGCACTGCTTTAAAGCCCTTTGACCTTTAATAATGTGTGGATGCACCCTGATGTGCTACGCATTCTCCAACGCGCCTAGGCATGCTTCTGATCAGGTGGTCAATGTCCTCCTGTGGTATCTCATTCCAGGCATCCACCAACATCTCTCGAAGTGCTTCTAGAGTCTGAGGAGGACGTTGCAAATTGAGCAATCCCACACGTGCTCAATTGGGGATAAGTCGGGAGATCTTGGTGACCATGGTAACAATGTGACATCATTATGTTGAAAGAAGTCTATTGTGACTCTTGCAACATATGGTCGGGCATTATCTTGTTGGAAAGTTGGATCTGCCAGGGTGTCAAGATAGGGTAAAAGATGGGGTTCTAGAACTTCGTGGATATAACGCTGCGTGTTCATGTTACCTCTGATGAAGATCAAAGGTGACCTGGAACCATAAGCTATAGCACCTCAAACCATAACTACAACAGTGTGATGAACATGTCTTTCAACAAAAAACTGTGGATTCCTCCTTTCACCACGTCGCCTTCTAACCCTGGCACGACCATCGTGCATGCCTAAACAAAATCGAGACTCGTCACTAAAGACAATACTGTTCCATTCCTGATCCCAGAGTGACCGTTGTCTGCAACACTCAAGGCGATTACGTCGGTGTAAGGGTTAGAAGGCGACGTGGTGAAAGGAGGAATCCACAGTTTCTCGTTGAAAGACATGTTCATCACACTGTTGGAGTTATGGTTTGGAGTGCTATAGCTTATGGTTCCAGGTCACCTTTAATCTTCATCAGAGGTAACATGAACGCGCAGCGTTATATCCACGAAGTTCTAGAACCCCATCTTTTACCCTATCTTGACACCCTGGCAGATCCAACTTTCCAACAAGATAATGCCCGACCACATGTTGCAAGAGTCACAAGGAGGACATTGACCACCTGATCAGAAGCATGCCTAGGCGCGTTGGAGAATGCGTAGCACATCAGGGTGCATCCACACATTATTAAAGGTCAAAGGGCTTTAAAGCAATGCAATCATTTTGAAATTTTTATCACTTACTTATTATGCTTCATTAAGTACTTATACAAAATTTTATTAAAATAAAACCATTTAAACTGGGTGTTCGGATTTATATGTCACTTAGTATATTATGATGTTGATACAATGCAGTTACTTTGGTACGCATTGTTAGACAAATGAGTCGAAAATATTAAAACTACGCAATTTTGGTGAGAAACAATGCAATGTAAATATATAAGCTTCGCTCTTTCTAATCTATTCGAATCCGTTGATCCTTACATATTATAATCACAAACATTTCCGTTATAACCATTTAAAACGGGCTCTATAAGAGGGGTTTTCAGCCCTGAAAATTAGTTAAATTCCAAATGGATCGCATATATGAGATTTTTAAATTTAAGTATTTTAAAACATATATTTTGAAATTTCATAAACAATTGTTTTTTATTTTACTTCTTGATTATCCTTTAAAAGCACAATTTTCTCAAGTTTGCATTTTCGTCCAAAATTATCAAATTGAATACTTAGCTCATTATTTTTATATAAGCGCTTTGAGATTTAATTGAATATGGCCATAGACAATCTCAAGTTTAAAAATAAATAAGATAAAAAAATACGTGTTTAAAAATAGATTTGATTTAGCTGATAACAAAATGAACTAAACATTTGAAAGTAATTTTTCCAATTGGAGATATTTAACAATAATGGAAGCTCCTTCATCTCAAGTTTCCAAAAATTTTATTAAAATAAAACCATTTAAACTGGGTGTTCGGATTTATATGTCACTTAGTATATTTTTCCCAGCTAAAGGATTATGTTCTCCAGAAATATCATCTGTATTGCATTATCATCCGTGTAAAAAATTCAGCAATCTTACGTTAGCGCCAATCTGTTTTTGGCGATCTAAAGGAGTTAACAGATTATATGGACATCGTGGTGTAAACTTGCTAATGAGCTGTCAAAATACACTGTCGTTCTATTGAAGAAAGAACGATTTCCAGGGGCGTCCATTAGGGTCCGGTACCTCCGTAAGGGAGCGACGTTTGATATTTTATATAGGAACTTCTAGAAATATTTTTGGTGATCTTTCTGCATTCAAGAAATTGCCATCTTATTCTGGGACACTACATAACATATGAAGAAAATAACAAATTAGCGAAAATCTAGTCTCGCAAAAAATAGGCAACCAGAATTACACGATCATGTATCGCAGCTTGCAAAGCTTCGAGAGCGATTGCGTCCACATGCGGCGGCGCTATCTAGAAGGTATCGAGATTTTGCTAGAAAATGCTTGCATGTATCGGGAACCGTTCGATTCACCACATAAATATCCGACCAGATGGCAGAAGCAGTTTTAGTCACAGTCGGGACAGTCAAACAACGCGCAATGCCGTTAATTTGTCATAAATTAGTACAAGTGTTATAAATTAGTGTAGAAGTAATTAGACTTTAGACAGCAAAAACGGTGTTTTCCTTAAAATATAAACAAAATGTATAAGACCATGACCCTTTTTGAAATAACAAATTTTGTTTTAGGTACACATTTATTGCTGACGATAGGTTCCAAGCATTTTTTGTTGAAGCTACGGATACCTGGACTTTACAAGTCAAATATGTACAACCTAGAGACGCTGGTCAGTACGAGTGCCAAGTCAGCACAGAACCAAAAATGAGCCATTTTATTACCCTTAATGTAGTTGGTAAGTATACTATGTTAATTTCCATAAACTGTGTCTAATTGCTTGCACAATTTTAACCAAAACTGTTATTATGCAAGCAGTTTGCCGTTGCCCTTAGAGTAAAACAAATCAGGAAATCATTTAATCTCCACGATGTTTGTTGTTTTTGCTATTTTCATCGGATTCTTCGCAAAATCTCGAAAAATCGCATCGATTCGAAAATACATTGCGAACAAAATGTTGGATAAAACTTTTTTCAACATCAAAAATCACATGCAAAACAGGACTGCAGAAAAACTACTATAATATCAGGTTAAAATTTGGCATGTTGATTATTCAGAACATGACCTAATTCACACACTCCTGGAACAGTTGACGTTACAAAAATATTACTGCTTATTGAAGTATTTTGAGGAAGTCAATAAAAGCAATGCTCCTTTATTCATCAATTCATATGTTCAAGAGCAGCTGCGTTTAAGATCGGTTTGCCCAATGCGAAATTTTTCGCTTACAGTGAGAAAAAGAAAAAAAAGAAACTAATTTAAATTTTGAATAAGCCAATTAAAAAATGTAATTAACCATTATACCGATAACGAGCTTAATTAGTTTAATCAAGCTCTGATTTCCAAAGCACTTTAATTGAATCTATGAATCTAGTTTACTAGATTTAACGATAATGCATCTTTTTTCAGTTCCTAAAATCGAAATAGAAGGCGAGTCTGATATCTACGTGAAGAGGGGCAGCACCGTGCAGCTGAAGTGCGTGATAACGCAATCCCTAGAGCCGCCTGCGTATATATTTTGGTACCACGATGGTGAAAGAGTGCTCAACGACCAGAGTGCCATAGATATTCGAATGACTAGAAGAGGTAAACTCACAACCACTGTGATAACATTAATTTTGATAAACTCATATAGTAATTAGATTACAGTCAAGTACCAAAATGGAAAGATTAACCTAAGCCAAATGCAACGTGTTCAGGACTTCAGTGTCTGTGGGATTTTATATATCCTTTCCCGGATGTGCCAATATTCCGTGGAGAAAGAAGTGCTACGTATTTTTAGACTCAAAATAAGTCGATTGGACATGATTTACCGCTACGCAAAAGTGCTTCGTTTGTCCGTTAGAGGGCGACACTTTTTTTTAAACACATATATTTTAAGAACCGATAGTCCAATTTGAATTAAATTTGTAACACTTATGATTTGCCAGACGTAGTATTATTTGACTTTTAGAAACAAAAACCGGGAGGGTTCGGGAAGGGTGAAAACTACTCCCACCCCTACAACCCGCAAGTCTCAAAACGTCACTGATTTTTTAACATCAAGGGTTAAAATCTAGTATGCATCTAGTTGGCGGAATTGTGGGTTATATCAGAGTGAAATTATTTCGTTCATTTCACGTTAAGCCTTTCCACGCGATAGCATTAAATATTTCATAAAAAATTTGTGTTAAATATTTGTCGCGACAGATTTCAATAAATATATTTCTTATATATTCATAAAATATTCATTATAGATATTTGTAGTGTAAATATATATATATACATTATATATATAAAGAGAAAATGATCATGCGGATAAAGGTATATAACAAAAAGTAGGAAAATAATGGGCACAATCCGCAAAAAGGATGAAAGTGGATTCGAGCAAAAAATAGGATAGGTAACCCGAGCGATACCTATTTCTGCTGGTTGGCTTCATCAGGCCCGAAATGAATGTACATATGCAACTACAAAAGTAGATACACATGTCCACACATCCGGATACGGCTATAACCTGAGGAAACGAAGATGAAGAGGGATTGTACCCATTATTTTCCTACTTTTTGTTATATACCTTTTTCCGCATGATCATTTTCTCCTTGTAGATCATTTGGGCTTGAAGTACCACAGCAAGTGGCTATAACCGGCAGCGTGGTTGTGGTTAGATATCTTCTTTGAAAATTCGAGGTCTTCTAGTCATTTTATACTATAATGTGTAGGTTGGCTCTTGTTGTGGACTTCGTGTGTCGATTTTTTTCCCTCTCCATCTTCGTTTCCTCAGGTTATACCCATATCCGGATGTGGGGACATGTGTATCTACTTTTGTAGTTGCATATGTACATTCATTTCGGGCCTGATGAAGCCAACCAGCAGAAATACGTATCGCTCGGGTTACCTATCCTATTTTCTGCTCGAATATTAGATATTGAATAAATATTGGGGCAGGAATTGCCTACTGATCACCACTCACGTTTGGGATTTGTACAAAATGTACAGACGATAGGTCATTTCACAAGAAAATTTTGGTTACAGATGAGTTATGTTTTACCCGACGTGGTGTGATAAATTTGCATAACACACATGTTTACGCGGAAGAAAAGTTTCAGAAACATATTTACAATAGGAATTTAAAATTAACATTTGGATGAGGATTATTGGTAACTTTTTAGTTAGTCCAAATAGGTTGCCTGATAAATTAAATGGAGATTGCTATCTTCATTTTCTACAATACGTGTTACCTAAATTATAAGAAGAACTGCTTATGAATGTAATAGACATGTTTTTGCAATTTTCTTCACCTAGCATCTATTTGATGACCACCTCGTTATCCGGATCTTAATCCTCATGATATTTTACATGTATCAATGTATATGAGGTTCATATAGACAACGCCAATCAACTATGGGACAGGATTCAAAATGCTGCGAACATTAAAGAATAATGACATCTAAGAGAAAATTAACTATCTTTTTTGCACCGTACCGTGATGTGCAGGAACGAAAATGGTGGTCTTATTAAACACCTTTTATGAAAAATTCGCATTGTATTAAATAAAATTGTAATATCATACTGTTTATTTTTTGCTAACTACATTTAAAGAATTAACACTTGGGAACATGATGCAACATTTTTTTTTCTCGAAAACTATCCTAGTTGACATGTTTTTATAGGAGACAAACAATGGAGTAAATAAAATGATCTACTAAATAAAACAATCAGAATTATCGGAAAAGTTGCCAAAAAGTCTGCTATAATTTATGTTGGGATGGGGGTAGTTTCCATCCTTCTCGAACCCTTCAGATTTTTTCGTAAAAATCAACTATTAGAACAACTAGCAAAACATGTTGTGGTCCAAATTTGAAAGAAAACTTCATGTCTGAACGACTCATTTTGAGTATAAAAATACGTGGTAATTCTATGTCGCGGTATGCGATGTTTCATTTTAATCTGATACACTTCTTTTCTTTGCTTTTTCCTATCTTCTCTTTGTCTTTCGTTTTCTTTGACACTATCTTGTTACTGGGCAATCAGGACTGACCAACCAATTCGAATAGATGATAAGGAGCCTAGCCTATATGTTTACATTACATTGTCGACAAAACTGCGTAGCTTTGGTGCATACTTTTGACTCATTTGTCTACCAATCCCTACCAAAGTGACAGCGTTGTATCAATAAAATACCGTTGGAAACATCTACCTTCATTAGGCTTGAGCCGCTGTTTGCAAATTATGTAAGAAGTACCATCTCTTGAAATCGTCTAACACCACAATTATCTGCAAACACTCGCACCTTTAAAAAATATACCAATTTAATGACAAAACTGTAAAAAAATGACATGTCAAATGTCAAGTGCACTTTGATCCTCACTACATACTATGGGAATTAGAAGACAAACAAATCCTTTACCAGCTCCTTCTACCTAGTCTGAATTGGTTGTGACTGACAGACTGGTCTGAGTTACTTTAAACAATGACAGTCCTACGGAGGGCCCATACAAAGACCTATGCTTGTTTAAATGGAAACACAGCAGGATCTCTATTTTCGAAATCGAGAGAGTATGATCACTGAGAGAAAGTGGGCGTGGTTATCTTCCCTGGGAAATGAACCAAACTCTGACATCTGTTGACAAGTTTGTGAATGCATACCCCTAGTCCAAGAATTGACTTACTTCCTGACCGACCGGGCTGAGCTGGGCGGAGGAAGGCAAGAACATCTACCGCATGTTGCGCAACCTACTTTGGTACCTGCAACATTGCTGTACAAATATGCTGGACACATTTGGTAAACTGAAGTATTCCTGGCGCAAACTGAGGCAGTGCAGATTTGACATACTACCCCAATGTCTTCCATTTTGATACTTGGACCTAACCGTCAAAAAATGTTTTTTCCTGATAACAAACCTATTCGTGACAGGCTGTAGGTAGGCAAGCCTAGTCTTTCTCTGTCAATGAACCTTGATATGAATTTCAACCATGGGTTTATTAAGAAAGATAAATGGTTATGGGACCACTGGGCCTATAAATTTCACCAACATTAATTTCATATTCTATACCTCCAGGCACAGATACGACAGTGAGCACAATCACTATCTTCCGTACAAAACCAGAGGACGCTGGCAACTACACCTGTAGCCCATCAAACCTGGACTCTGCCAGCGTCTATCTTCACGTCCTTAACGGTAAGCTCCAGAAGGTTAACAGGTAAACAGTAAAACTAAGGTAACACTTGCTGAAGAAGGATTTTTTTATTAGGTTGCTATAGACATCGTTCATATGAGGATAATTCGAGTGAAACTTGGTTCTGTATACAGGATAAATGACGTTATGACTTTTATCGGGTTTGTATCACTCGAAAGTCTAATTTAAAACATTTTCAATATCTGCAAGTTTTGGAAACTTTATCATGCAGTACCTCACGTTTTAATGTAAATGGAGTCTTGTCATTCTTGTTTACGATTAACACAATCTTAAACAGTTGCCTTAATTTATTCATAAACGGTTTACAGAACCCAATCTTTTGTAACCGTCAAGAAGAAAGATTTAAAATGCAGAAGGAATTTGAAAGCTTGCACCACTGAGTTGTATCTTAGATCTCACAACAAATAGCCTTTTTGCGATATTCGATAATGTGATTAATAAATTACATAATTTTAAAATTTTTTCATACGCCTTTATTTTATGATAAATTTTGACTAAAGTGAGTGAAAACGTTTACCAGGAAAACAGAGTATGGTGCCAAAGACGGTGCTATTCTTAATTTTGCGCTTCTAAATAGAACATAGATTGTTGAAATGGGACTTCGAGTTAAATGTAAGTTTACGATGCAGGATACTGCCATTTTTTGAACCATTTTTCTATTCTTCAAAAGTAAGTTATCCTTGATACATCACTGTATACAGGGCTCAAAAGTTTTTCGAACTGTTCTCATTTGAGGGAGACAATATAGTAGTGTTGTTTGATCCCTATGCCAAGATTTGGCCAGTAATTTGCAGCAATCACCATCAATCAAGAAGGCGTCTGGGGACTAGTGGAACTCCTCACATCCATAGAAAATTGGGAACTAATCCATGTCTTGCTTTAACTAAGATCTAATTGAGAAAATACATTCTACGAAACAAAGATATGAAAAACTGCGTTTTTTATTATTTGTATTTTAAATAAACATTTATGTTGACCACATCCTACGTGTTTTATTCTTTCATCGACGTGTAAGAATGAACAGTAATGCAATCGAGCACGTTCAGCAGAACATGACGACTTGAGATACGCCTCCGAGGAGGTTTTTGGTGTTTGACCGTTTTCAACCATTTAAAAGAGGGAGGAACCTGATGACAAAAAATGCAACCAGATGCCGAAGCTTGAAGAAATAATACCGCACAAAACACATACGGAAACAAAGGTATAGTACAGGGTGGCCGATATGTAACTGACTGCTCTGTATCTTGAATATTTGTGAAATGAAATAAAATACGTCCATTTTTTTCATCCTAATCTTTTATTGAAACTTATAAATTATGTACGAAAAACAGTATCAGACAAATGTCCGCCTGTAGAAGCCGCACAAAGCTGAGCCCTCTTGATTACATTTTCCATCATTTTTTGGTAGGTTTCCTCCATACCAAACACCCCACCAAACTGTGACTCGGCGAGGATGTAGTGGTAGTTGATGGATGACACGAGGGTTCTCTAATGCCCAGATATGACAATTCTGCTTATTAACAAATCATATCGAAGTGGGCTTCATCGCTCATTATCAGTTGTCGGTAAAAATCGTTATTTTATTTATTAAGCTGCAATATTGCATGACTGTTTTGTCGCCAACTTTCATGATCACTAGGCTGTAGTTCTTGGGTTAACCGAATTTTTTATATCCGCAAATACAAGTCTTTTTTAAAATAGTGCATATTGACGTGCGACGAATACCCTGTTCTTGAAAACGATGTCTGGTAGACGACTCAGGGTGCTCCACTACACTTTCACGAACTCTCTCGATATTTTCCGAAGTACGAACAGTTCAAACACTTTGGCAAGTCTTAAACTTCACCTGTTTGTTCAAATTTCCGCACCAACGTTTTAATAATACGGACGCGTTGTGGGATCGTGTAGCGCTCCATAATGAATTGGACACATGCACTTTAAGCAACTACTACGGCGTCACATACTGAAATGCACGCAATTTAAATCAGTCAGTTATATATTGGGCCAAATTTGCAGTATGTTTATTATGACCCGATTAAATGTCCCCATGGTTACCAATTTTGATAATGGACAATTTTCAAAATACTTAACGTTAATGGCGAGGAATATGGCTTCTGATAAATACACTCAATTTTCCAGCATCTCTAAAAGACAGTTCGCATCTAAGAAGCCGAACAAGATCGTTCTCCGTATAGGCGTCCCATTGTCACACAGGGGAGTAGTACTAAAGTACTCATCATGATGCCAACATTGACGTACGGTGCAAAAGTTGCATTAACTAAATATTGCACACTACAATACCCAGTTTTTCAGGAGGTCGTTATTCATGCGTTTGCTCTCTGTCATCTATCTCCAAATGACTAGACCTCTACCATTCTGATAATAATAATAATACTTATTCACATCAATTATAAATTGTGAAAATATCCTTGCGTGTGGATATCATTCTAAAGCCGCGTACAGACCGAGATTCCAATGCAAGCCATGTGGCCAAGGTCGCCGTTGGAGTTCGATTGCGTTCGCTCCTTGATCGGTGCATTGGTCTGGACAGGATTTGTTGCGCTTCTAGTATTTAGTCGTTTATCTGCAACAGGAGCGGATCCAGGGGGGGGTCATGACCCCCCCCCCCAGGCGAATTTAGTTCGACCACCAATAATTGTTAAAGTTCCAAATCTCTTAGATAAATCTGTAATGCACACATTTTAAATGGATGCCGTACTGGTATTTTCTACTAAACACTGGCAGCACTGCATCTGTCAACTTTGATATGATCGATAGTTGTTGTCATGTTTGCCGTGATTAATATTTCATTGAATACAAACTTGGTGAACAACACTAAAATACGTTAAATAACGTGCATTACTACATGATATATACGGGCACTATTTGCGAAAGTGATATTCTCCCCATTTATGGCTATTTGCCAATTAATGACGGCAACTGAGAATAAAAAAATTAGAAAGACCTGCACAAGTAACCAAAACAAACTCGTGGATGTTGCAAAAAGTTTTTTAATAATAATTAACAACGTGCCAATAAAACAGCTAATTCAACTGTTTCAATATTCACGCGGATCTAAGATTTTTCGATAACGTAAAATCCATCTAAACTGTTCAGAGAAAGTTCGAACTACAGATTTTGCTGGCAATAAGGATGTCACATATTAAACGGGGCTTACAATTATATGCACAATAGTAGCTGCTACGCACTGTTGCCTCTGTTTACTATATGTCTATATAACCTGAATCAAGTAGAGACTGTGAGGTCAAACATTTTTTATTCAATGCAAAATAACAGAATTATTCTAATTTGAATCCGCGTCTTGCTTTTCGTTCAGTAAAAACTTCCATCGCAGAATCCAAATTGAGTGTATTAGCTACTGATCTTTCGATATAGAGGTTAGAGAAGTTGTTGAGCGAGTCTTTAGCCAAAGAAGCTCGACAGTATTCTTTAATAACTTTCAAAGAGCTCATGACACGTTCAGCACTAGCTGAACCGATAGGCAAAGTCAAAAACAATCTGAATAAACTGCAGCTCTCTGGTAAACTGTCTACAAAATTGTTTGCAATCATGAACTTCAAATAATATAGCGCGCTGTCGTTAGTAACATTACGATTTCCCGAAAAATACATGCTCGTAAAACTGGCTAATTCATATTTTAGAACTGTAGTGAAAAATTCCTAATATGTTTCCATCAAATTAGAGATGATGGTTTCTAATTCGTTTTCTTTTAGATTGACTAATTTCTGTGGCATCAAAAAACCAAACACATCATTCACTTCACGAAATCCTTCAGTACGTTCTTGCAATTCGTTACTCATTGAATCCAAAACTTCGTAGTAATTTATTCGATTTTCGTGTGTTTTCAGCAGCTTTGTCGTCGAACATTATTTTTTATTTTCCTCTTTCTGACAATCGTAAAACCAGGATTTTCCCATTCCATCTCTTCCCATCGATTCTTAGCCTTCAGAACAAAATTATCGTATATGCTTTCACTCCTCAAATCTTTGAATTTCATTAATGCTGCTGAAATGCACCTTTGAGCCATCATCAAGTCTATCTCTTTTTTGCATTTGAACTTGCACGGTATTCATTACGCTCAATACTGAATGCCACCATAACAAATTGCAAAAAAGGTTCGGTTCATGGAGGAAAGGAGAGATCTTGCATTCATTATATTTTCGACAGAAGCTCCCACTCTTGAAATTTCATCTTCTATGCAATTGATAATACATTCAAAAAATTGCTTACACGATATTATCACGGAGAAAATAGATGTCATCAAATAAAAAAATGCACAGTATTGTGAAATTTTATGGTTATAAACATTGAAGACGTGAAAAGACTGTAATAGGCGCATTAGAGTCTTTATTAGACTCCAAGAGGCTGATTCATACCACGAAGATATTTATTTACTGAACATTATATGCCAGGTAATAATATATCACTGTAAGCACGAACATAACCTCTCCACTCCTTGAGAAATAAAAGGGTCATTCGGTCATTTTTTTATAAATGAAATAGTCATTTTTCAAAAAATTTCTTAAGAAATGGAAGGGAAATTTTATTATTCAAAACTGAATGGTAACGCGCTATTTCATAAACATTACGCAGATGGTCATTAAAAGAATATAACAAAACTCTGATTTCTTGTTATCAATTTTACATTCAGACGCGCTGAACAGTATAGGCACTACAGCTGATTTTTGCTGGGGGGCCCTGTGACCACCCTTCCTTGTGGGGCCCAGGCGGCAATGTCCATTTTGCCATTACTTAAATCCGCCACTGTGACGGACAACCCCCCTCCCCCGAAGATGAGAAGAATATCTTCCTGAACATGAAGTTTTTTGACCAGTGTGACCCCCCAGACACAAATCCTGGATCCGCCGTTGCTTCCATTATACCCTCCATAATTATGTTTCCTCCTCCACCAGCCGATCAACCACAACTAATATGCCTAGTAGCAACAAAATGTCTGTACGGAGACCGTGCTCAGCTTATACGAGGTGTGACAATTAAGTAATGAGACTGATTCCATAAAAAGCGTATATTTGAAAAAAGCGTTTTCCACGCTCCGTAACATTTCTGGAACGCTGCGATTGGGATGTCCGCGACTACGCTCGTCACGACCGCTTGGATGTCCGTAATCTACTCAAAATGGGTTCCATATCAGGTGAATAAGGCGGCTGTTGCAACACGGTGATCCCTTTAGGCCCCTATCGTCAGTCTTCCCTACAATTGTAGGGCGCCTTTATGGCCTCCTTGACTCATAGTTTTCTACTTCTCCATGTCAGCGCACTTTTTTGAGGTTATGTCACAAACATATATTTGCATCAAATTGTGCTTGCTTCTGAGTTATATCATGTTTTATCAGCCTGAAATTTCCTACAATTTAAAAATAAAACATATCTTCACAATAGGAGAGCGCTGACGCTGACATGGGACAGGTGCAATCTAGAAATGTTTGAAGGAGAGAAAGGAGTATGACAATCAAGGAGGCTATAAACGCACCCTACAATTGTAGGGACGACTGACGATACGGGCCCGAGAGCCCAAATACTGGGACACGCTGAAGGCGGTGTGGCACGGTGCGTAGTCGTGAGGAAGGATCCAGTTGCGATATCCGGGAGCACCATTTGGACTCATTTTCGCAAACTTTCGAGTACGTGGCGATAACAGACTTGATTTACGGTTTGCCCCGATGGAACAAATTCTTTGTGGACGATTCCACGCTATCAAATAAGGTAGTGATCGTGGTTTCCACCATCGACTTGCTCATGCGAGCTTTTTTGGAGAGGTACTCTGAAATGCTTAAAGCTTCGCGAAAATTCCGTTGCGGCTCAATCAAATGCTTCTACGATTCCCCCATTATTCCCCATTTTCATAAAATTGTTTTTTTTATACTTCAACTACCACGAAGGCCGAAGGCCTAAGCACCCACTGGGTACCGTGGGGCTATAGGGGGATACATGGGAAAG